CATCGGGGAAACAAAACAGCCACTGGCCAAAAGGATGGCCCAGCACAGAAGATCAACATCATCAGGCCAGGACTCTGCAGTCTACACTCATCTCCAGGCCAGCGGTCACTCTTTCAGGGATGAAGATGTTCACATCCTGGACAGAGAGGAACGATGGTTTGAGAGAGGAGTAAAGGAGGCCATCTTTGTGAAAAGAAACCATCCATCATTAAACAGGGGTGGAGGCGTCCGGGTTCAATTGTCCCCCTCTTACAATGCTGTGATTGCTAGTATCACTCAGACCTCTGTGAACAGTAAACAGCCATCAGTGTGCTAATGATCCATCGTTAGGCTGATGGTCCTTCTTGAGCATGTGATCAGTTGGTTTTGGTTGTCAGCAGCAAAACTGGTTGATCCACCCTGAGAAGGTGCTATTTAAGAGACTGAGCTGAATACAGCTCCTCAGACTGAGGAAGTCTCTCGGATGAGAGACGAAACGTTTCTACATTTTTTGTTGTTTTGCTTTGTTTTGTTTTTTTTGAATGTCCAGAGGACCAGATTTAACTTTTTTAGATATCAAATGTAGTTTTAGCCATATATTTTAAACCAAAGAATATGTTAACTCAACAGTTTACAGTCTTCTCACTTAATAAATGAACAGCAACAGAGCAGCATTTTACACTGACACACTTCACCTCCAACCTTCTAGTGGGCGTCTCCTTCTGCTTTAAGGAGAACTGACACAAAATGTCTGTGGCTTTGACCAGAGGGTCTTGCAGTAAAAATCACACAACACAGCGTTCTTTTCACAGATCAGAGAGCAGGTTTCTCTAAAGCTGACCAAAGCTTACTTTAACTTTCGACCAAAAAAAACCCAAACTTTCGATGGAACACAGCGTTTTGCGCATGCGTCCGAATATGGAAACACTACGGCAAGCCGGGCGTAGTTGGCTTGTAGCTTCGCTACTTAGCCCTTGAAGAAAATACTTCAACACCACTTTCGCACAATTTTCAACTCAAAAAAGTAACGATTAAATCTGACAGCTCTGATTTTACACTTGAACCCCACTTGCGCACAGTTTTCCACTAAAAAAAAGTTACTATTAAATCTGAAAACTCGAATTTTACATCAGACACAGCATTACTGCGGTTAGCCGGTAGAAGTCAGATCTCTATCGTAGGCTAAATTTCTATCGTTTCTACCGTGTACCGTTTATATCGTGCATTCCTAATGTGTGTATATATATATATACATATATATACATATATATATGTATATATATGTATATGTGTGTGTATGTGTGTGTGTGTGTGTGTGAGAGAGAGTGTATTCTCTCTATTGAGCTGTGGCGAAAGTAATTCTCATTAAAGTTCTGCCTTAATGAAGGAAAATAGCAGTTGAATTACAAATTGCTCTCTCACTCAGAAGCAGCATCAATGCAGTGGTAAATTGGAAGTAGACACATTTTATATGACAGCACAGAGCACCAATGTTTGGGTTAATCATAGTCGGCTGTTGCCCCCTCTGACAGTCTAACTTCATCAGTGGGAATGCTATCCAGCCTTGAAAACACTGTCTGAAACTGAGGGTTAGACAGAACTATTATTATGGTGTAATTTATTTGACAAAAGTTGTTGTCCAGGGTGTCCCCCCGTCTCTCGCACAGTGATGGCTAGACATGGGCGCCAGTGACCCCCACAACCCGGAAAGGAAGAAATGGGTAAAGATAAATGGATGGATGGATGGATGGATGGATGGATGGATGGATGGATGGATGTTTCATACCTGAAGTTTGTCAATATAAATTAGAATTTTGTTATACAAAAGTCTGTGTCGATGCAGATACAAATTTAGAAAGTTATAGTTTGTCTTATAATAGTAATTGTTCATGTACTTTGTTTTCCTTTTAATATCAGAAAATAGGTCAAATGTGAATTATAAAAAAACAATTGAATAGTTTTAATTCTTCATAACATCATTTTGAAGTGAGCACAATTTTATGTGTATCAAAAAACAATTGTCTGAACTTTTTATGTTAAGAATGAAGTTATTTTTGTAAAAAAAAAACAAAGATGAATTAAATCTTTTTTATTGATGTTAATTTCAATGAAAAGCTAAAAGATTACATCCAGAATACACCAGATGAATTTTGCCCTAGGCTGATTGTATACAGTAGTTCCTCGCTACTTCGCGGTTCGTTTTTCGCAGACTCGCTCTATCCTGGTTTTTCAAAACAAGAGTGAACATGATACAGTTGGCTGCTTGATGGATGGGTCACATGATGGACATGGATTTTTTATTTAAAATAAACTATTTTAAATGATTTGGTACCTGTGTGCAGCCCACATCTGTGGTTGAAGCTTCATCCTGCAGCTGATCAGCTGATCTCTGTTGTGCAGAGCGGAGAAGTGGGCGTGGCTGAGAGTGCAGCCGGAGGCAGAGAGCTGAAATCATGATATTCTGTGCTCTTTTAGAGCATTTAGAGTTTAGAAACATCGTTTAGAACATTGCAAGGGTGTGGGAAGGGTTTAAAACGCCTTTATATATATCATAGATATAAATACTAAAATAAACTACTACTTACTACTTGTACTACTATTCCTACTTTGCAGTTTTTCACTTATCGCGGGGCTTCAGGGTACGGATCTCCGCAATAAACGAGGGACTAATGTAGTGGTTTTTTATTTTTAATTTTTATTTTTTTTACTTTTTACCCAAGAAGCCAGTAGAGGCAGTCAAGCTAATTATCTGTCACTGTTACCTGTGCATCTTTAATTATTAATAATATTAAACTGCTTGCATATTAAACAACTGATCAACTAAAACTGATCCCAACAACCCAAAACAA